GATTTTAGTGTTGGGAGATTTCAGCAGTTAACAAACAATTTTTATGGGGAAGAAATGTTAGAAATATTGGACTCACAACACCTCTGCATACTAAATACTGGCTCTCCAACTCGGCACACTGGTACATATGAAGGCTTAAGTGTCCCGGATTTATCTGTGTGTACACCTGATTTGGCATCTATGCTCTCTTGGAGTGTTCACTCAATTGCTTGTGGTGATGACCATTTCCCTATAGTAATTTCTGTTCTTAGTTTACCTGTTCTAATTTTATGACCTCTCAAAATTTTGAAAACTATGGACAGGTTTCACGTACTACGCTGGAGTTTCCCCAGAGAAATAAGAAATTTAAGGGATATAGACGATTCTGTGCGTCTATTTGTCCAGACGTTAACATTTCGATTGTCTGTCAAAATATAAAAAGATATAGAAGCGCTTTGAACAGTTCCTCGAGATAACAGATGCCACCCGAATTAGCCAACCAATTCATGGACAAACTGGCTCCTTCTTCAGTACCAGAATCATTTCAATGCTTTCATACTACCCCTTTCGTTAAGAATGGATCTGGTTTAAATTCACTCTTTTCGATTACGAATTAAAAGGTATACTTTCTTATACAGAGGATTCCTGTCCTGGTGATGATGGAATTCCTTATTCATTTTTAGTTAACAGTAGTGAGGAGACTTTGGCTTATTTTCCCCATATTGTAAACTCCGTAACGATCTTTGGTATGATACCCTCTTCTTAGAAGTGACAACGTGTAATCCCTGTTTTGAAAACTGGAAAGTCATCTACTGAAGTCGCTTCCTATCGCTCCATAGCTATGCCATGTGTGTTAGCAAAACTTGCTGAACATTTAGTAAAAAACCGATTACAATAGTTTATAGAAACCGATAACTTGCTCTCAAGAAGTCAATTTGGTTTCAGAAAGGGGAAAAGTATATACGATAACTTTAGTGTATTTATTACAGATATTCATTTCGCTTTTACATTAAACGAATCAGTTATATCCGCTATTCTAGATATCAATGCAGCCTATGACAACGTTATAATTTCAATTCTCCAAAGAAAACTACAAATGTTAGAAGACCCATCTATTCTTTCTAGGTTCATTATCTATTTACTTTCTGAAAGAATCATTAATTTACAGTTACATGATTGCATCAAGTTATCCCGTGTGGTATGGAGAGGTTTGCCACAAGGATCTGTTCTCAGCCCTCCTACTGTACACTTATGACTTGGAAGCGTCGCTTCCTAACAATGTTGAAGTTCTATATTACACTATCTCCTTTTTTACGCCATAAACAAATCTATACCGTCTTACTGGTATCCCCCATTGTGAATATATATATATATATAATATATATATATATATATATATATATATATATATATATATATATAGCTGCCAAAAGTGAAAAAAAAATTCATAAGATGTTTGATAGGAGTGTGGTGGGGAGCACATTCTTTTTCCTTAAAACTGGTGTACAATGCCTTAATTAGAAGCCTTTTTGACTATGCAACTTTATTTCTCGATTCCTGTAATATGTCTGCTTTGAGAAAACTAGACAATATTCAATATAAAGCCCTAATTCTTAACTAAACTAATTCTCATTCTCGGCGCAATGAAAACAAGCCCCAGAAATGCTATGCAGGTACAATGTGTTTACTGTTGTACTTAAGAAGACCGTTTCTGTCGGATAAGTATGTTTTCCGATGCTTGCAGCTAACTAAGCACCCTTTTTTATCTAGAATAGAGCGTTTATCTGCGGAATCTTTCTCTTCTTATTGGTCTCATAAATCCGTTCCATGTTTAGTTATCAGTTTCCTTAAGTATTTATGTATTCACACAACAGTGAATCTTTTCTGTGCTATTTATGATGCTTTAATATTAACCCCTGACGTTCGTTTGTCTTTAGGAGTTAACAAGGAAAAAGTCGAAACTACACATTTTTTTAACTTTTGTTACAGACTCAAAATTCCAAACTTGGCATCACATTAAACACAATAACAATAGCAATGTTGGAATTGCGAGTTTATCATTCCCAATATAATATTATACAGAAAATAAATCTTCCTCCTGAGAGTTCTGTTTTCACTGGGGAATGTTTCGGCTTATACAAATCCGTTGAGTATATTCTATTGGCTAAATTAAAAAAGACCGTAATATTTTGGACTCTAAGAGTTTCCTTCAGGCACTTGTAAGATATCCGTTTAAATTAATACTTATTTCTTCGGTAATTATTAATACAAGAAAGTTACTATTAAAATTTGCATTGAAGGATTTTTCAGTAGTGTGTCTTGACTGACTGACAAGTTCGCCAATGATGTTATCATCTGCGAGGACATGACTCATTACAAGAATTATAATTATGATCTAGTCACACTTCTCAAGATATTTCTTAGAAATAATTGGACTATATATACTATAGAGAGTATATACTATATCGAGAGCTCTCGGTTCAAAGGTAGATTTCATAGCAACCATCAATGCCAGTGAAACCGTGGTTCTCTAAACTAAAACTGAACAGCGTGGCAACAAGCATATTGACTCGTATGAGATTAGGTCACGTATGTAAGTACGAGGGGAGGTCCAAAAGTCCAATATTCCATTTGGGAATATTTTAGGTTATATTTCAATATCCGGGAATGTCACATATAATCTAGTTACATTCAAAGTTATGACATTTGATGTACTTCTCTTTAACAACTGTATCATGTACCTCATGTACTGCGATATGGACACGGTTGGCATTTAAGATGATGTTACGTATTTTCGATTCCCGTGTTTGACACAGATCAATGTAATGCTATCTCTTTTGGCTTAAGACGGCACGCAATAGTTAAACAAAGACAATAAGATCTTTATGTTCTCAACGTCGAAATGCATCATATACATATAAAGTCTGACTTATATATGCATTGACTTACAAATAAATGGACGACGGGTCTAATACAAAAACCACGAAAAAAATGTCCCAAGTCAACCTATTCGAAATTTAAATTGTAATGTCATCGCAGTATCGCGCTGTCAGTAGAACAAATGAAGACTAAAGAGGAGTGTGGCGCTCTGTATACGATTTTAGCGCCTTACAAGTGCGGACACTTTTTAGCGCGGACCCGACGTCCATACAATTGTAAGTCAATGTATATATGTCAACATAACATGTCCTTTAGTTTCCATAGCCTAAGGTTTTGACATTTGATGTACTTCTCTTTGACAACCGTATCATGGTACCCGTACTTAGACTATGGAAACTTTTATTTATCTTTCATCCGACTGTCACTAGTTTTTACATTGTGACGTCATTTTAGAAATAGGTTGTCTACATCACTATAGATTTAACTCGTATGATAAATTTTCGTGGTATGATTTTTTACGACTTAAAGTGTAATTTAACAGCTCAGCGGAGCTTCGCTCGGCTTCAAACGGCTTTTGGTGAGGAAGCAGCATGCAACACGATTATTTATGGCTGGTTTGCAGAATTCAAACGCGGTCGTGTGAATCTCAGTGACGAATTTCGTGAAGGTCGCCCGTCCACTGCTGTGAACAACAAAAACATCGATGCTGTGCGCCTCTTGATCAATACAGACAGGCATGTGACATAACATGAGATTCGGGCATCTTTAGGCATAGGCATGAGTCGAATACAATCAATACTACACAATCATTTGGGTGTGAAAAAGCTGTACTCTCGGTGGATCCCACACAATTTGACTGAGGCTCAAAATACAGATCGCGTCACTTGGTGCAATGTTATGCTTACCAGATTCAACGAAGGGGCGTCAAATTTGGTGTGGGACATAGTAACAGATGACCAAAACATGGATTTATAGTCACGATCCCAAAACAAAGCAGCAATCGAGCTTATGGATCTATCGAGTTGAGCCGAAACCAACCAAAGTGGCGCGCGTGCAAAGTGGCTACTGTTGCTTTGGAGAATCGTTATACCGTGAATAGTAATTGGTACACGATCATTTGTTTGCCGGAAGGTATTGACTCCGTAAAAGTACCAGTAAACGCCGTATCATCTTGCACCACGATAATGCCAGGTCTCGCACGGCCAGGCAGACAAATGAATTTTTGAAGGTGAACAACGCTGATCTTATGAGCCATTCCACATACAGTCCCGACCTGGCACATTGTGACTTTTATTTATTTCCAAAATTTAAAAACCATATACGCGGTCAACGATTTTTATCACCTGAAGAGGCTGTCGAAGAGTATGAAAAACATGTTTCAGAGATTGTCACGGAGGAGTGGCATAAATGTTTTCAAAATTGGTTCATTCGTATAAAAAAGTGCATTAACGCTAACGGAGAATATTTTGAGAAACAATAAATTCATTTCTGACCATTTATAGTTTTTTTTTTCTTATTCATTCCGGAAACTTATAGTGCGCACCACGTATTACTCTGCACTAAATAAATTAAGAAAACAATAACTGATGAGTCTCAGTCATAAGTGTTTTTACTTTACTTACCTCCTTTCATCTTTAAACGAAAGAAAATTATCCCGTTTAGATGATGTTAGACAGCCGTACACGGCACAACTGACGACCATTATACATAGTGACGTACAATGATGTTATATAGTATATTAACGCACAAGATTCGTACTGAATTAAATGAAAATTGTATTCAAATATCAAAGTAGTCTTAGAGCGAAAACTGCTCGCCCACCGCCTTGTTGCCGTTTAGTCAGTGACTGTCAATGTGCGGCGCGTGATGCGGTATCTAAAGTTCGGGAGGGGTGGAGAGTGTCCATTCTCGTTATTTTTTTGTTCTTTGGTAAGGTGTAACGGGCTGGTGTCCACAATCGCTTCGTATTATTTATATTTAAAGCAAAACAAAAGGTCTCGATTGATTTACTGTGCTACTTTATTTACCAATCATAATCTTATATTCGAACTGAAAAAAAAAATTTAGGAATGAAGATATTCACGTTCCAGAGCAGTAATACCTACGGAAAAAAGTATAAAAAATTTTCCTTTTGATTGTAGTTGCTTGTCGTAGTGCCGATCCTGGTGACTTACCTCCATAAGACCACGAAGCAGTTGGCTTTCCTTTATTCAAACCAGGAGGCAATGATACGAGGAAGCTATATTATTCTTGCGATGTCAGCTGCTCTGAATGGGTTCTCCATGACTGCATTAGAAAAGGTTAAATATGGTGTTTGTTACTTATGGACTGTGCCCAGTTGTATAATTCTTCTGCACCTAAGCAGTCTTTGGGAGCTCCGGTTGTAGAGGACTAAATTTGGACTGCTTAGCAAATCGTCAATGAAGTGGTTTAAATAGTTAATTCTACAAGGTGCTAGGCCAGTACATGCTCGTAATGATTATACTGTCGTGTGCACAGGTGTATACGAAGATCTCGTTCCATCTGAACCGTATGATGGGGAACCAGCGTACCGAGAAACCGTACGAGATGTCGGTCACCATTATGCTGTTCAGCTTCTCAGTGCTCGTCAATTTCAGCTTTATATTTTATATCGCTTTCCTGAAGGTAGGTGCAGTATATCATGAAAAAAACGAGTCGCTGTATTCGGCTTTTTTTAAGGCTAGGACAGTGCAGCGTGACAGGGCAAAACGTAATGGAATCATGTGTTAACTATTGATACCTACTTAGTCAAATTATTTAAAAAATCATATATTACAAACTATAGTTGTGCCGATTTATTTGGTACGTGAATACCGTGTACTGGAAAAAAAGTGTGCAAAATGCTTCCCGCTGAACAGAAAATAACAAATCCGTAACAAAAAGTTTTCTATCACCGAAAAGCTCATGGTAAATTTAAAATTAAATTTCGCACAAATTCCGAAATCTCAGAGATACAAGCCCGGATTCGAACCCACGACCCTCTGCTTGAATGCGATAGGTCAAACCATTATAATATTAGAAATAATTTTTGAAATTGTTATTTATTATGAAAATAGCACAATATGAGTCAGAAATTAAAGCACATTACGTATAAATATTGTTTGATTTCAGGGGGCTTTGTATACGTATCCGTCTGACGAGAAGCGCTGGTACTTGCCGCTGGGGCTGGGTACCAACAACTGCGGCATGCTGTCCTGTATCGATGAATTGTTCTTTGTGTTCTTCTTCACACATCTCTGCAAGAAGTGCTTCATCGAGTTTGATAACATGTTTCAGTAAGAATTTATTTATGGGGTGTGCTTCTGAACCAGAGGTTCTCTCCGTGGCAAAGTCACATTTTTTGTATCTATAATATTTAGTGACTTCATAATATTAAGTTTGTTGAATATCATGATGTTTTACTACTGTATTAATTTATTATTTACTTTTATGAGAAATATTACAAATATTTCTCGAAGAAAAATATTTGACATATTTGATAACTGATAATAAACAAAAGAACATACTGTATGTCCTTTTACTGTATGTCCTTTTTTGTTAGGACATACTGTATAATAAACAAAAGGACATACTGTATGTCCTTTTGTTTATTATCAGTTACAAATATTTTTCTTCGAGAAATATTTGTAATATTTGTAATATTTGTAATATTTCTAATATTTCTACTATACTGTTGTATCCCTATTGGTTATAGCATATAAATATGAATTTAAAAAGATTTTCTTCTGTAGCATCTGGAGGCCTAGGATTGACTTTGGGGCCCACACACACAAGTTTGGAGTGGAGAAAAGTATTTACAAGTTTTCATGGAATAATACATACCTGTTATTTTTATATTGAACTTCTAGCACACTACAGTATCCATGAACAGCGGCATGCGCGGGCACTTTTAACGTCTGTTCTTCATATGTACAGAACACACTCGACTGACATGGCGCACAACCTGTGGCACAACCAGCACGTCCCATGCTGGGAGAAGGAGTTCGACCTGGGCAAAATATCTGAAGTGTTTATCATGAATAAATATAATTACCTTAGTATGTTGTCATTTTTGTATATTCTGGAGTTATATTATGCCATCTTTACCATATCAATTCAAGGCTTGCTGTGCTCGAAAAAGAAACATTGAACCCTGATTGAACTTGTAGTTGAACTTGGTGGAATAGTTTATGATTTGTATGTTTCAATTTCGCAGTGGTGCAAATCGCACTGGTCAACTTCTTCGCATTCATATTCCCCATTGGAGGAATATTGGCGTACATAACCAACTTCTTCGAAATAAGGTAATTAATTGCATAATTATTGTAATAAAGATAATATCTCTAACTATGGGGGAGGCTGTTCCATTCGATGGTGTGGGAAAAACAACAAAACTTCTAATTACAAAACAAACGGAACATTTCATCAGTAATTAAATATGAAATATGTATATTTTCAATTTTCGTCCATTATAGCAAAGTTCTAGTTACTCTGGTCAATTTGAAGTGAAACAAATCGAATACGGGCTGGCCAATCGAAGCAGTTGTCACCGTAATGATATGGCAGAATAATTTTCAAATAAATTAAATGACATTTCGTCTCTATTTCTGGTTATACACTCGATGTCTTGGGCTGTGTCATGATAGAAGCACTTTATACAAATAAAATATTTCAGGTATAATATGTATGTATTAAGGGCAGAAAATAAAAAAAAATATTAACGAGAGCCTGGCTGAGGGATAAAAAAAATACTAACGAGAACCTGGCAGATTTGGATTTGGATTTTTTTACCGCCCGTGCTATATACAACGCTTTTCATTTGATCATTTTCACATTTGCGAGGAAATAAATACAATAATAATTTATTTCCTGTATGAATAAATATATCTTCACAACCATTGACTTACAATTATACTTACTCGTATTAATTTATTTGTAAGTCAATGTTCACAACATAATAATTACAGATTTTGCAAATGGCGGGGATTTTTTATATTTAGACAGATGGCCAGCTATTCTTCCATAGATAATGCATCTCGAGCTAAAATGTTGTAAAAGGCAAAAACGCGTACAGCCATGATGGTAATGATATAATATAAAATAAATAATTTTATAATATTAAAAGTGCTGCAGGTTTGAATTTAAAAAATGAATTTAGCAAATGTTTACTTCTCTTTCTTTATTTCAAGGTTGTATGATATAATTTAGATTTTTCTAGCACTAAAACTTTTTGCTTAATCTTAACTTTTAAGAGAAGTGCAATAACATTTTAAACGATCCAAATGCGGTAATGTAATGAAAGGCCGTGGTCGTCATTTAGCATTACAGCCGACTTTGCCTGCATGTTATGACACTGTTTACAAACAAGTATGATAAAAAAAATAATTTTATTGTTGTTCTATCATACCTAAATTATAAGGCTATTTTATTTATTTTTAACCGACTTCAAAAAAGGAGGAGGTTCTGAATTCGTGTTCTTGTGTTCTTGTTCAAAACTGTGTTCTTTTTTTTTGTATGTATGTTACGCGATAACTCCGGTATTTGTGAACCGATTTTCATGATTCTTTTTTTGTTGGAAAGGGGGTACTTCCATAGTGATCCCATTTCTTTTTGAAGAAAATCATCCACCTCGAAGGGGCTGTTCACGCATGAAGATTCATTTTTATAAATAGCGTCTAACTTTAATTTAGGAGCAATTACTTTAATGGTTGATTATGCTATTTCTCCAATTCAAGGCGTTTTTCTCTCTATATATTTTGAGTAGTGTCGTAGTGAGAACCTATTTTTATTATCTCCAGTGTCAAGTCCTGTACAGTGGCGAACTAGGGGATATTTCAATAAAACTTAGCAAATAGACGTAATTCCACGTACTTTTAAGGTCGGTTTTTTTAGTACTCTGTACTGAGATTATTATTTATTTATTTATTACATTTAAAGCAAACAAAACATTCCAGTATAACATACTCGTAAACTTAAACTAAGTTTTACCATATACCGCGTGCGTTCGTACTGCTGCGTGTTGACATTCCTCTTTGGGTCAGGACTTGAGTATGGTTTCTAGTGTTTGAAATCATACTCAAGTCCTGAAATGGGACCCTTAGTGTGTGAGAGTCGTTGATAAAGGGTGTCACAAAACTTTGATCCTTGTATGTGCATCCCACCGCTGAACACGAATCTATTCTAATAAAATAATGGTCGTGAACTGTTCTTTAATATTAAATTTAAAGTTAGTACCTATTTAAAACTTAATTACAATTAGATAGTTATAGTAAGTATTATAGTAAGTATTTATTTCAATCACGTATTAATTTTTATTTTTTCTAAAAAGTAATTTTTTACTTTAGGTTTGATGTTATTACAATTTAACGATATTTTCATTTCTTTAAGAATTTCTTTTTTTTTAAATCTAGTTTTAAGAGGCCTGAAACGTTCGGGCGTTTATGTCGGCCTCATAATGTATGTATACATATAAATAAGTCTATTTTATCTGTCACTACTCCCATGTGAGGTATTGCTCCTCATCAGAAAGCAAGACCTCACATAAGAGTATAGAGCTTCAGCACTCTTCGTCAACGGGTTGCTCAGCATTAAATTTAGCTCTCCCACCTGACCAATGTCCTTCAATTGATATTGGGCTCGACAGCCCGCATACCAATCACATTCCATTAAATAAAGCATGTCCTCCAACTTGTTACAGAATTGACATTGAGGGGATTCTGCCCTTCTCATGAAATAGTAAAACTTATTTAATGGAATGTGACCAGAACGCAATCTAAGGGCAATTATTAACAGTGACTTGGATAGTCTACCATCCTCGAACCAGAGCTTCCTTGGAGGACGCAATTGGATAGTTTTGTATCATATACCCCTTGTCACAGATATCTCATCATAGCTCTTAGCCCATTGATCCATATTTAGGTCCCTTACAAATGAGATAAGTTCTGTGGCAAAGGGCATACCTGATGGTTCCAAAGGTTCAGAAATACTCTAAATCACTTGCTAGTCTGTCTGCTATTTCGTTTCCTAGATGTCCGATATGTGATGGTATCCATTGAAGTGTAATGTTAATATTATTCCACAACAGGTTGGTCATTAATTATAATGCCTCATATGCTATCGGCATGCCTCGACCTCCAAAGACATATCGAAACAAGTGCTGAAGTGTACTTTTAGAGTCAGTGAGAATAACGATTCTGTTTGAATCCACAGAACTAATAAAGGATAATGGTACCATTATGGCAAATAACTCCGCTCTCATTATGCATGTTTCATAACACAATTTAAATTTGAATGATTGATTTGATGACATTTTCTTGCGGGTCGTAAAAAGCCGCACCAACACCATTGATGTCCTTGGAACCATCATTAAAAATCCTATAGTAGCCAACTGTATTTAAGAGTTAAAAAAATATTTACACAATTATTTAAATACATCGTGACACATTGTCCCTTGGGAGCGGTCAGTGTGGGTATCCTGTCAGTTGTTTATATCTATGTACGACATCCAAATTTCCAAATAAAACATATCCAATTTGTTCTTTTTGTATAACATCTCTATTTTCTAAATTGTTACAAGCTTCAGTTAAAGCTGGTTTTGCCTTATTATTCCAGTAACTATTTATGTTACATTCTGCGGTAAGATCTTGAATACTTTGTACACTTACTTCATTAGTGAGGGATACCATGGATAACCAATATTTATGTGCCAACCAGTATCTACGCACAGTCAAAGGTGGTATGGCCAACACACATTCCATTACATGTATCGGGGTAGTTCTAATGAAACCGACACAGATACGTAAGGCTTTATTTTGTAAGAGGTCTAGCTTACGTAAGTGACAGCTCGCTGAGTTAGCGTACAAAAAACTTAACATAATTGATTCGGAAGAGAAATGTATAGCCTTCTCATAAACTTATGAGATGAGATTGGAACGGCTATGAATTACTACATACCGTCTTCCAGTGTCATCGCCAATCGCAGAGGACGCCCTTGGTTCAATCGCGAATGCATGGACGCTGTTAGTGAGAAACAGGCTGCATATCGTGGTTGGATCAAGGGTCGTGTAACAAAGGATCCCAACCTTGCGTCCCTTAAAGCAGCCTATAACAAAGCAACCAAGTCTTGCAGGAGGGCTTACATAAGAGCGGATGCCCAGCGCGTTTCACGGATTGGCCAGAAGCTGGTAGCCCATCCCACCGGTAGCCGTGCCTACTGGAGCCTGGCCAAAGCCGTGCAGTCCAATTTTTTGTCGTTCGTCGCTGCCGCCTTTGAGGTATCCCAATGGATTTTTGGCCTATGGCCCCGAAGAGAAAGCCAATTTATTGGCCGACCTTTTTGGGGCTAACTCGCGCATTCACGACCAAGATGCGCAACCGCCGTCAATTCCCCACTGCGGAGTCACAATGCCTGATATAGTTATCAGGCAATGTGATGTCCGCAAGGAACTGCAGACTCTTGACGTGCGGAAAGCCTATGGTCCAGATGGGATACCTCCTATCGTCCTTAAAAGGTGTGCGGCGGAGTTGTCTCCCGTACTGACGCGCTTATACCGCCTCTTTTAAGTAAGTAACGCACACACTCACACTCAACATAGCCCCGCACTAGGGAAACCCTGTGTCGCGGGTGCCATGGACACACATATAGACAACCACAAATTACACCCAAACTCACGAGAGAAATAGTTATAGGCCATACAAATATTTCTCCCAGCCCGGGAATCGAACCTGGGACCTCGGCGTGGCAGTCCGGCACGGTAACCGTTCGGCCTCAGAGGCAGTTTACCAACCTCTCATACCAATCTGGTAACGTGCCCCTAGCTTGGAGGGAGGCCAACGTGCAACCTATCCCCAAGAAAGGAGATCGGTCTGATCCGACAAACTATCGCCCAATAGCTGACACTTCAGTGCTCTGCAAAGTGATGGAGCGGATTCTAAATATCCAGATAATCCGGCACCTGGAACGTCACTCCATTCTTAATGATCGACAGTACGGGTTTCGGCCGAACCGATCAACGGGTGACGTTCTAGCGTATCTAATGCATCTCTGGGGTGAAGCTATCGACAAACAGGGCGAAACCTTAGCGATAAGTCTGGATATTGCTAAGGCCTTTGATCGGGTCTGGCACCGTGGTCTCCTCTCCAAGCTTCCGGTATATGGTCTTCCCGGCCGCCTTTGTGAGTGGATCTCCGGCTTTCTGCGCGAGCGAAGATTGCGTGTCCTTGTTGACGGAGGCACTTCGCGGCTCGTGACAGTTAATGCTGGGGTGCCACAGGGCTCCGTGCTGTCGCCCACGCTATTCCTTCTGCAT